ATTGGGTATAGAACCAACCTGTAGCTGTACATTTGTTCCTTAAGACCAATATCTATGTCTTTAGTCAGGTATTCATAATACAGCTCTGGAAAAGGTTAAGAGACCACTCCACATTTTTCTTGAGATGTTTTTCAATCTCTACATGTATGGCAGCCATTCCATTCTAGTGTCTATTGAATTCCAACAACGAGAAATGTTGTCAGTAGAATAAAATATAAAATGCACACCTAAATGGTAAAACCAGAGATACTGAAAATGCTGCAATGGTCTCTTAATTTGTTCTAGAACTGTATACCTATATACATTATATTTATATGTACAACTCTAACAAGCTTTAGCTTTACTCACAAATGTAGACAATATTAAACATACAGGCATGAAGAGTCAGACATAGAGATATATTTCCTAACTTTATGCTGCACACTGTTTTGGAGACAACCAAAGCTGCAAAAACAGCTGCAAAGTTGGTGTCACCATTAGTCAGCAAGGTTCAAAAACATCAAAGTAACCATTTCATCTTTTGGTTTATCAGAAAAATTGATCATCAAGATTGTGGATAGCTCTGATATGATGTTGAATGAAAGTATAAAGTTTCATCAATGGAAATACTCAAATAAAGCACAAGTAACTAGAATATTGGGGCTACTTAAAGGTGGGGCAGGTAATTCACTTCAGAAACACTTTTTGTTATATTCCGTGGAATGCTCTTAACATCCCGATAGCAATGAATATTAAATGCTTTGACAAGCCTGTGGAAGCCGTGGCGCTGCAAAAAGCAAGTCCAATTATCTGCCTCGGCCCGCAGCAGATAATTGGATGGCCTACCTGCCTGTCAGCCTTCCATCTCGTGCACAAACTTATCTCGTGCCCTCATTGGTCATGTGCGCGTTCGTGTGTGTTGGAGGAGGGGCTCTATAAGGAAATTTGAAGGAAGGGGCAGATTTTTTTCGGTTGTGTACTTTCAAATTCTAGCTTACTCGAGCTGGTTTCTCCATTCTTACCTACCCTAACTTTAAGTAATTATACTTGGCTACTTTCCGTCACTTGATGTAATAATTATGTCTCTTATAGCTGCTGACCACTAATGGCTTGTGACAAAAGTCCCAATAAAACTGATACCTCATAGATATAAATGACTGTTTAGGTTAAGAAATGGAAAGCAACACAAATGGTAGTTGGCTGTTAGACACAAAACCACAATACACAGATCAAATCAGTGGTCACACACTCGTATCCGATTCATTATTGTGCAATCTAATTTGAAAGCCATTATTGCTGGCTATAAACAGGCACTGAATCAGCAGCCTCTGGGGCGCCTCTGCAGGGGGCGGATATGTGATGAAAGACTAAGAAAATGCCTTGTTATTTATTGGCAGGCATTGAAGCCATAAGCAATTTTCTTAAAACAGCTTCTCCATTTGAAAGTTGGGGAAAGAAGCACTAAATCTTGTCAGATGTCTCCTCTAGTCATAAGGAAATACTTCTTTGTAGATTGTTTATTTTTGGTCTGAGTTTGCAATCTGATTTGGCAACCTACAACAGATTGCTTGTGCATTTTCAACTGTCTTCTCTCCTATGAAAGTTGCTCATAGTGTCAACAGCAGAGACGTTTTTTTTCAGACCGTCTTGGTCAATACACACTTTTAAAAAAAAGTTATCTATTTGTTTTCATGTAGTAAGTAGTCTCCTCTCGTTTTCATTAAGTCAGCACAACGGGTGCCACAAGGTGTCAAACATCGACGTCTCCTATGCTGAGCTTGCCGATTTAAATTTGTCCCATTATGTTTGTTACATTTTTATTAGGTGCTGTGTGCCTTGCCAGCGGCTGACTGAGGTCCTGTTAACAAACACTGCTGACAAAATATGGGTGCACAGAGAGGTGGCAGGGCTGTAATAGAGCACAGCAGAGTGGTGCAAAGCTCCCACATATAGACCCGTCACCTCCACACAGCTCCATAGGGGGTCCAATCATCTGCCTCGGATCTTCTTAGTAGAAATACAGTATCGCACAACCAGGAATAGCATTCCTATGTAATTAGACATCAACACAGCTACTGTTCCCTTACTTGTTAGAGGGGGATATTTTCCTTTGAAACTCAATGCCTACATTCAAAATGTATAGGGTGCTGTTTGTGTCTCAATTAGGCCTTCACAATGAATCAACATTTTTCACTGTGCAATATCGAAAGGAGAAAGAGCATAGGCCTGAATTTGTATTGTTTTGGTACAGATCCCTGAGGGAGCAGGGTTTCAGGGTCCGTTCCTGTGTTACAATATGTACACCCAGAGAACTAAATCTAAATCTTGAGCAAACACTAGGTAATTTCCACTGAAATGAATTATTTGTGAATAAATGTGTCTGCACGTTAGTCATCCACATAAATAATAATAAATAATAACCTTTCTCACTCAGTTTTACAAACTCCCGTCTTGTCTTTTATTCTTTTTTATATTTCTGTACAACATCTAATGAATCAGCTTGCAAAAAAATGGGTTTAAAATGTCACATTGCCTGTGCACAACTTAGACATAAACTATACTATTATATGGACTGTATAATTTAAAAAGAAAATACCATCTTGGATTTTAGTCGCTGTGTTAATGTTGTCCAAGCACAGAATTTACTGAAAAAGTTGTCTAGGCAATCAGAGCGATAATATACCAGCTAACAATTTGTTATGTACTGCAAAGGTATAGGGGAGCAATGACGTTGCGACAGCTTGAAATTGTCACACAATGGGAATTGTATTCCGAGATGATCTGTTCTGTGTTTACAAAGCCGGGTTTGCCATGCGTTTATGTTAGTCCATGTGTGTGTAGCCCACTGGTTAGTTGATACTGCCTTCTTTGTGTCGTGGAAACGCAACGCCCACCCTTCGTTTCCCCATCATGTTAACACTGTCAGTTTTTATCAGCACTGTTGCCATTCTGTGCACTTTTTTTCACTGTTAGCGATGTTAGCTGCTAGCTGCCCGCTTAGCCATCGCCATGTTGATAGCCAACCCAGTCTCATGGCATTTCGTGTTCACCAACACGATTTTTAATCTATTGATTCGTGTTCACCAACACGATTTCCCCATTTTTTTCGTGTTGCACAGCACGATTTTAAAAGCAATGTATTTCTACTGGTAATGTGTTTCGTGCCTGCAGCACGTCTTTTTCTCCGGTCGGGTCGTGGAAGACCGGAAGCTGTGTGGTTCATAAAAACATGTTCTTACTCAATATCAAGCCACAATTATTGCTTTTATTTTAAATCGTATAATTTCGGACTTTTGTTGCCGTCTGTGAGGAAAATAAATGGGGCTCAGAGCCTCAGGATACTGAAATCTGTATTTTTTAAATCTTTTTTTCCTTCTGATTTGTTATTCTTTTCAAAATAGCACACTGTTATTTACTCACCAATAACACACAATTATCCTTGCTTTTATTTATTGGTTTAATTCCATAATCTCGGGCTTTTTTGGCGTCCGTCAGGAACTGAATTTCAAAATAAAAATAACCGGAAACAGACGTAGGCATTTCGAGCGATTACCCAAGATCCTCAGCTATGGTTTAAGCTCGCTGATTGGATGTTTTAGCCGCAATGCATGCTGGGATTTGGTGTTTATATTATATGAAATCTGGAAAACATTTTAAAAGAATAAAATAATACTTAATTCCGAGTGCTCTTGCTTTTCTCTTTGAAAGTCATCACATAACGGCATTGTAATACACGGTTCGGCTGCATTACATATTACAGATCTGCCGTAGTTCTTTATTTATAGAGCCCTGATGAGAAGACCTTTGGAAAAACTGAAGAAATGCCGCCGAAACTGAATACTTGACGTGGATCATAAATATATCAACAATTAAACAACATCTTCAATTTCTCTTAGTGTCCTACACTAATAATACAAAGTTATTATGGCTGTGTGTACCTTGTGTGCACCGCCTAGTGGTTAAAGCACGTTATTGGATTATTGTTTTTATGTGTTATATTTGATTAAAAAAATATTAAGAGTACATACTTTCATAAGGGGAAAGTAGAAGGTCTGTGATAGAAATATAGAATATAAAAAATCAAGAAGATACTATAAGTGATCTCTACAATAAAACAGTTTAGTGCAGGATGTACAAAGATATTAATAGGAGGAGGTGCAAAACAGAAAAACGAATTAACCTTTATTTAAACATTAAATAACAGATTAAGATCTTCTTTTAAATAAGAAAAAAACTTTGGGGGTATCTATCTACAGATAAATATTAAGCCTGACAAAGTACTTAACGTCTAATATATTGCTTTCCTGCAATGTTAACTATGTTGAAGCACTTATTTTAACTGATATTATACATATGAACTATACTCTTATGTATGTAGATAGAATAAGAAATGTGCAGAATATGACAGTTTAATGGTGGAGGTTCACACATATTGATAGATGTCTTGTAATGCACTGTTGAGGAACCTGTGACCCAAGTGTTTCATTCATTGCATAACTACACCGTAGTTGTGTATATGATATGTCAATAAACCTTTGAAAATCTTGAAATCTTGAAAGGGATGTGCAAAATAGCCATAATATACAGTCTTTAATTAACTATTAGTAGAGAATAACGAGTAATGAATATACTTTATTTCTCGTTTCCATTCATGTCAATTGCAGATACATGTTTAGTCTTCTCAAGCACCAACTATCAAATATCTCTCCTGATTGTTGGCACTTGACAATCACCTTCCCTGAATTTTACTCAGGTGTAACTAAAGTCTGATTTAAGGGTTGTTTATATTTCACATCATTAATCAGAATCTGCAAAGTAACTCAAATAAGTGTAGTGGAGTAAAAATACCAGGTTAACCTCTGAATTGTAGTGGAGTAGAATTACAAAGTAACAATGAGCTGTCATGTGGGTATTAATGCTGCGCATTATGGACACAAGCGATTTTCACCCATTTATTAATGATATGTTTTACATTTGATAACACCAATGTGTTTAATACTGGCAACTTCTAATTGTGGGAAAAACGAAAACGTTCACTCTTAAAAATGCTGGGTTATTTCTATAAACACATTGCTGGGTTGATTTGGCTGGGTCATAATTATGGGTTATTTGGGTACTGTAAACACACTGGTGGGTTGTTCATGCTGGGTCAAAGGGGTTATTAGGGCTTCAATTGCAGTTGAACACCCGCCTGGGTTATTTTTAACCCAGAGGTTGCTTTATTCATTTTCCCACTTCTGAATCATTCTGGAATCATCTTTTTCAAAACACAAGGTATGTAACCTATATTTTACCTATATTTATATAATTATACAATTCTGTAACCTATATTTTTTTAATGAGTTGTGATAACAGTTCAATAGGGATCTGTAGGCATTTAACAGACTGTGCAAAGTATAACATTAGCAGTTAACGTCGGCTACAAATGTTTTACATTTCTGTCAATGAGTGAAAGAGCCTTGAATTTACGTTGTGATGCGATGAATTATTATTTTACAAAGACGTGTGTTCTACTAGTAGTTATAAATGGGTCTGAACTATAGCTTTGGATTTGTGTGCAAAAGTATTAGATGTACAATAAGGCAGTATAAATCAGATGGCTTTTACGTCACAACTCTCTTTCCCAGCATGCAGCTCGGGCGCGGGCTTTCACACATACGGACAGACAGACGACAAAGAAGCTCATTGATGTAGGTAAGTTTAGGTTACTAGAGTTATTTATTAATTACATTAATCATTAAAGTTAGCAACTATTGAAGTTATTTTTAGGAGTGAGTGACCGGAGTCACCGAACCACATAATGTAACATTTTAGTTCCCTGCCATCGACGTGTTACCATAGATTAGCTTAGCTTAGCATAGCACACCAACCAGCTAGGTCGTGTCAGGGGCAAATAATAATAATTCGTGAATGATTAAAATGTCTTCATGGAGAGATTTGGCAGACCCCCTGTAGTAACTGTACATTAGTAGCTTGGTACCTTACAATAAATGTTAAAACATTGCACAGTTTTGTAAAATTCTAATGTACTTAATCTGATTTGATTCTAGTAGAGGGTTTCACCATGGACATGTTCGTCACAGAGACGTTGACTGCATGGCAGCTTGAGAACTTGATTGACACATTTAAAGGTAAGTTAATTTTTATTGAGACAATGTTGAGATGTTACTATTAAATATGTTGTTATATATTAAAAAGAGCAAGGTAGCGCTGCAACAAACAACTAATTTGATAATCGATTAATCTATCGATTAATGAAACGATTAATCGACTATTCGGACTATTACTGTATGACTTGCACAATTTCTCAAACGCTCTTATTTAGCCATCAACTTTTAGATTTAGCTTGAGGTTGTTTTAGGCATGTGGAAACTAACAATGAAGACAATAAAGATGAATACTTGATTCAAAAATACATATATTATTAAATTAACTAAACACATTTTGAACAAAATTAACATTGCTTTTAATTTAAATAAAATAAATAATATTTCACATCAAAAGAAACAACAGTGTTTTAACAAATGGTATTAAATAATGTGATGACAGAACTGTAAACAGAATAGGTGAAACTTTAACAAACTAAATAACTCAGTTTCCTCTAATAAATAAAATAGCTTTTGAAAATATGTGCATCTTAAAGTGCTTAATTTTAGATAAATAAAATAAAGTGTAGCAGCAGCTTGAGTTTCTCTTTTTCTTTGTTAACTGTTTCACATCATGACTTAACAGTTTCAGCCGATTATAGAACAATATCAGTCTTTACACATCATAACAATTGAACAGTTTTAAAGTTTATTTTTCTTTCCCTCTTATATTGCAGTCCCTCACTCACTTTTTTTAAATTCAGTGTGAGAATTGAGCTCGAGCTTGTCCTGCCAGGAGTTTAGATCTGGGCTGAAAATGGTGTCAGGGCCATTTAGATCTGGGCTGAAATGGTGTCAGGGCCATTCTCACACGTTCATTGTGAGAACGTTCATGCTCATTGGTTACAGGGATGCAAACACAGGTATGGTGAAAAAAGAGAGAACTATTCGAAGCAGGAAAAAAACAGCGTAATATACCATCTGACAAAGGCCTGTGCTATAATGCTTCAATTAACTGTTCTTTATAATATACTCAGATCAATAGGAGACAGAGATGTTAAGTCATAAATGAGTGAGCCGCATATGAATTATTTTGTGAACATACACTTTCAAACAGATGAGATAAGAAATGTCAGTAAAGTAAATGTACGATGTTGCTGTCCAACACTGGCTATCACACACCTTCAACAACAACAACCAAGGAGTGCATGCGGTGAACAGCAGAACTCAAATGCACTTTAAAAGCGCATCACAATTCAGTGTTTAATTCATGGATTTGAATCGTCATATATTTGTAAAAATGATTACTGTCTCATCTCATCGTTCTTTGACAAACTTCTACTGTCTATTTTAACAGGCCATCCACAGACACAAAGAAAGCCCTTGCCGTGGCATTGGTGTATGAATTCCCTTGCCTTTTGGATGGTACAGGCAGTGGCAATGTAAGTTAATCAATCAACACATAAAGGAGAACACTCCATACACACACACCTAAAAGAAATGTGCTCAAACGTTTTTCCTAGTGCACAGTCACACGCACATTTTTGGATTGCTCCTTAAAATCCCATGTAACCATCTTCATGGTTTACGCCAGGCCAATTTAATCTGAATCTAATTTTCTCTTTTACAGGGAGCTTGGTACACACCTGGCCGAAATCACAAACCTGCTACAGGTTTCCTGGAGGAGCGCTTGAGGAACGTCAGGAAGCGCATGAGAATGCTGAAACGACCACGCCACCAAGAACAACAGAAGGAACAGACCGTCCCTAGTACACCAGGTAATACTAATAACCAATATTAATTATCCCCGCCAGGCTAGAATAGACGAATGCAAGGGATTATATTTTAGGTCCCATGACTCTTCTGTCCATCCATCTTCTAAAAGCTAGTCTCAGGCACCGCTGGACCGATTGGCGACTTTTCACACACTCTCCCAAGTAGGCCAGAACCCCAAATGTTTGAAATCAGCTATAATGAATCTGAGGACCTCTGTACTTATCATTCAACAGAATATGATGTGCCTCCTGAAAAACTTCTAGAAATGGTTGAATGGATGAAGGTCAATAGGTATCCAGTGTCCCAAGTAGTGTTGCACGGTGTACCGATACTTGAAAGGTACCGCGATACCCTGCCGCTAAAAACGGTACGATTCCTCCGTTTCATTAGTATCGGTACTTTAAGAATGACAGGGAAAAGTACTCCGGTGAGAAAGCGCCGTTTTAATAAGAGCCGTGTGTGTTCAGCGCTCTGCTTCCACTCCTTGCGTGCACTGCAGCCGTGCCTGCAGTCCCGCCCCTCTCAAGCACGCTCTAAGTCCCTCCCCTCTCTCTCGTGCACGCGGCCACGCGCTAGCTGCCAGAGCATGTGAGAAAACTAGAAGCATGGCTGCAAGTGGGAGTGCAACTGCCGCTGCGCCTCGGCTTGTTGACAAAAAAGACGCCATTAGCGAAATTTGGAAGTATTTGAGCTAAATCTCTGACAGTGAGGGCAAGCCTACGGACACCACGAGGCCTGTCTGTGAGACATGTTTTAGATCCCTGCAAACCAAGGGAGCCAACACATCAGACTTGGCTAAGCACCAGCCGACCGGAATCCAGAGCTGTTTAAAGAATTTAAAGACAGACAGGTTAGCGAATGTGATAGATAACATAATTACATCATGCTCAAGCCCACGCCCTCAAATCTAAGTCAAACCAGTGTAATTTATTTTGTGACAAACGAGACAATTAATGGCAATGATAACATCTGCAATATACATTTTGTCAATAATTATTTATATTACTGTACTATTACATGTTAATAAAATATAAAACAAATTATATTTTATAAAACAAAAAAGTTGTTTGAGATGATTTTATTTAATACGAATTATTGTCATTTATTTTGTTTATTGTTCTCATTGTTTAAAAATGTGTGTTATGGTTATGGTGTGAAATAAAGCACAATAATTACATTTAAGACTGTTTTCCTTTTTTTAAGAAAAGTATCGAAAAAGAATCGGAATCGCAATTCTTGACTTGGTATCGGTATCGAAACCAAAATGTTGGTATCGTGACAACACTAGTCCCAAGTTGAGGACTACATGAATCAAACAGCTCTACATAGAGGCAAGTGGATTCGCAGCAATGGATCTAAAAGCCTCCCGGAAATCTTGACTGAGTTCCCTAGGCTTTTAGACAATCCTGGCATGGTAAGAAATTATTTTGCTATTGCGGTTTTGTCTATTTGAATGATACTCTATTTGTGTTAGGATTTGAGGTAAGGCAGGACCCAAATGCAGATTGAGGGAAAGCGGGTTTCAAAGTGTAACAAAAGGCGAGCTTTAATTACAAAAAGTTGTTGACAATGAAAAAACAAAACAAAACCATGAATCCATAAACAGGTAGCACAAGGTAGCATCCAGCCAAAAACGACAGTGACAAACATGGAGGGTGACAGGAAAGACAATGAACCGACAAGGAACACAGGGGAAGACAAGACTAAATTGTATTGTCATACTGATATTCTGTACAAACTGTGAAGTCCACTGAGACAAATGTAACATTTGTGATATTGGGCTATATACATAAACATTCATTGATTGATTGATTGACTAAATACAAAGAGGGGTAATCACAGGGCAAGACACAGGGAGGGAATGCAGAAAGGCAATAGGTGAACACAATCAGACACAGGAGGGAAAACACAGGAAGGAAGAAAAGACACAGGTGAGGAGGGAGGAGAAAACACAGAGGCACAAGGTGAACACAATTGGGTTATCAGGCAGGAGGGAACACAGAGACAGGAAGCAACAGACAAGACGGGGGGGGGTGAACACTTTTCAAAATAAAACAGGAAACCAAAAACAGATCTAGACAAGACAAAACACAACACAGACAGATCGTGACAATTTGACTGATACTCTGCAATGCACTACAAGTTTATGTTTAACCACTTAGACCCTACAGTATATACTTTGTAATAATTTAATAATTTACCTGTTGAAGTGACACTGGCTGTCAAATTGTCCCCTAACCCTTTTCCTAACAGGTACTACAAGCCCATATCATTTCTTTAAACACTGTTCTATTGTTTTTCAAAATGTATCAGATATCACAAGACTTCCAGCAGCTTCATCCAGAGGCAGTAGGAAAACTGTTTCAGAACTGGGCTACTATGAGTGACCAAATCCTTACATATGCCCAGCGAGAGGGAAAACTGCCCTTGGTGTTTGATGACATGACACCAGGTAAGCTATTTCTTACTATGTAACACACACACACCGGTTCTTTGAAAATAGCAGATCTACATGCTTGCATTGCGTCCCAATGAGACTCGTTGTGAGCTTGTGGATCTGCAATTTTTTTTATATTTTAACAATCGTCTGTATGGGGTCCCTTGCACAACATGTTTTCGGATGGGAGTCTGTTGACAAATACATAAATACATGAACATGTTTGTGAACCACTTCATTAGATACCTTTTGTCTTTCTTTGATTCCTGCTCCCCCCCTTCCTTTTCTTTCTCTTTCTGGAAACAATCAAAACGATGGAGCTTGCACAAAAACAAATTTCACCCACTGTTTTACACCTGTAAACCTGTGATGTGACAATAAAGATTCAGATTCTGATAAGATGTCACAACACTTCCTGTGATTATAATAGGCTATACAATTCACGCCTTGTTTTTACCATTCAACACCAGGGCAGAAAAGTCAATATTGGTTCAGAAATATCAATCTTTATATACTATTTAAATGTTGATGTTAATATGTATTTTTCTTATATTGCGTAGACCGAGCTTTGAAAGTCCTGCCGATTCTGCTTCCTCCATCGGTCTACAGGATTGGAGGAAAAGTCCACAGACCCACCATAGAGGAGTCCCGCAAGTCCTTCATTAATATCCAACCAGTAAGTTTTACTTTTGTTTTTCTACTTCAATAATGGTGGGTGTTTCTGTGTTTATATACTAGCATTTTCATACTTCAATAAAAAAGATAATAAAAACAACATGCTTAACTTAAATGGCAGGTTATATTGCAAGTAACTGTTGTGTAATTAACAGGTAGGCACCAACATGGTACAGTACCTACAGACCGCAGAGAGAACTCAACCCTTCCCGCACATCTTGTGTCTTGGTGATGACATGACAACATGCCAGACCTTCACCATTGTGTCAGACAACGCCATTGAAACGGACACTTTGCTGGGTGCAGTAGATCTGTGTTTTAAGGCTTTCTTTGTGTTTGACCTCAATTACACAAAGCAGTGTCTCCCCACCTGGGAGTTTATCCAACAGGCAGTATATAACATTGATGGACATGAATCCTCAAATGTCAAATTTATGAGGACATCAATTGCAGCTTTGGCCTAAAGGTACACAGAGAGAAGTAGCCTTTTAGTGATGTGTGTCAAACAAGTTGACAGCTGCTCTCTAAAAATATGATTGACACAAAACTATAGGTTACTTGCGTAACCCCAGTTCTCAGAGTAACATGAAGTGAGATGTCTCACTATGGGATGCGCCTCATCGCGGAGCAAACAGAAGCATCAATCTCATTACGCCAATCCTGATTGGCTGGAGATCTTGACGTCAGCGTCAGGGAAATCACCCCCTATAAGTAGCTTGCGCCACAACGCATGCGCCATTCAAAATAAGCACCTCTTCTCGCTTCACCATAGCAAGGAGGGCCGTCTGGTGAGACATCTCACTTCATGTTACTCTGAGAACTGGGGTTACGCAAGTAACCTATAGTTCTCATTCATAACACTCCGTTCGATGTCTCACTATGGGAAATTGTAGCTCCCGTATTGCCAGACAAGCTTATCTCGAAAATCACCAAACCAACCAGAACTTAACAGGTAGAGCTCTGACTCAACCAGGTGCCCAGCACTGCTTGAGTCACACTGGGAGCAGAACGTCCAGCCTGTTAGGAGGCAGACAAAAGTGAGCGGCGAGGACCAGCTCGCCGCTGCACCAATGTCTTTGATGGGAGACATCCTGGACAGAGTCCAGAATGCAGCCAGACTCTGAGTCGAAAGAGCTCGCGGACCCGAGGGTGCCTGCGAACTCTGACTCGTATGAGCCCCAAAGCAATTGCTTCCACAGACCAGTGGGAGAGCCGTTGCTTAGTAACAGGCTTGCCCTTATAAGGGTTAGCCCAGGACACAAGGGGTTGGTCATTATGACAAAGCACCCTTGATCTGTCCCTGTTCGTGCGTGAAGCACAGGCTGGACACGGCAAATCCGGCCGCTGTTCCCCGGAGGGCGAACTGAGTGCATGAAGACTGTACAGATAGTGCATGAGTGCCACTGGCTCGCTTGGCAGCTGCCAGGGTCAGCGTCATGTCACACTGTATTTAGATTGTACCACTCACGGGCCAGGCCCATAGAGCCAAGCGCTCTGGGTGTGGGTGAAAGATCGCCCCCCCCGCTTGGGACAGTATGTCCCTGCGTAGTGGGAGCTGCCATGGCTGCCCGCACAGCAGCTGATATATCTCCGCTAGCCAGTACATAGCTGGCCAGTGCGGAGCTATCAGGATAAGTGTGTGGCGTTGCTCTCTCACTCTGGCCAGAGTTGGGGGTATCAGAGCCAGGGGTGGGAACGCGTACAGAAGGCCCGGGGGCCAATTGTGCGCGAGTGCATCCACGCCTAACGGTGCATTTAGATCGTGCATCGAAAAAGAACAGCTGACACTGAGCGTTGTCCTTCGATGCGAACAGATCCACCGCGGCTCTGCCGTAACGCACCCACAGCTGGCTCACAATCCTTGGATGTAGAGTCCAGTCTGCATAAAGTGGTATACCTCTGGACAGTAGATCTGCCCCGAGGTTCCTCACTCCCGGTACGTGCGTCGCTCTCAGAGAGAGGAGACGCCTACCGCTCCATAGGATAAGTTTGCGCGCCAGTGTGTGTAACTGGAGAGAACGCAAACCCCCTTGGCGGTTAATATACGATATTGTGGTCGTATTGTCTGTCCTCACGAGGACGTGATGTCCCCTGAGGAAAGGCAGAAAGCGTTTTAGGGTGAGAAACACCGCTAAAAGCTCCAGGTAATTTATGTGCGCCCGCTGGAGGTCTCTGCTCCAGAGACCCCTCACCGGGCGACCTTCATAAATACCTCCCCAACCTGTCAGACATGCGTCCGTGGTGACCACTTTCCGTGAAAGGACAGCACCCATAGGCACACCTCGTACTAGAAAAGTCGGGTGCAGCCAGTGGCGCAGTGCCATTACGCATTTCACAGTAACCATCACTCTCCGCGCGCCATGGCGCGCAGGGTTTAGTTTTAGGGCGGCCACCCAGCGCTGAAACTCCCTCATGTGTAAGCGTCCCAGTCGTACGACCAGGATGGCTGACGCCATGAGCCCCAGCAATCGCAGGCATGATCTGAAGAGAACATGTTTGCGCAGCTGGAAAAGAGCGAGACAAGCTCTGAAAGCTTTCACTCTATCCGCTGACAAGCGAGCTGAAAAGGGCACCGAGTTCAGGTGTAAACCCAGGAAGAGTATAGTCTGCGCGGGGCACAACATGCTCTTCTCTGTGTTTATTATGAAACCCAGGTTGAGCAGGTGCTTTACGAGGACATTTGTCTGCGTAACAGCCTCCTGCTCCGACTGTGCGAGAAGCAGCCAGTCGTCCAGGTAGGTCGCCAGGCGAATACCCTGTTGTCTTAACGGGGCTATCGCGGCTTCCGTACATCGTACAAACACCCTTGGACTGAGAGACAGACCGAAGGGGAGTACTCTGTATTCATAACAGATCCCCTGAAATGCGAATCTCAGATATTTCCTGTGTGGGTAATATACTGGGATGTGAAAATACGCATCTTTCAGGTCGACTGATGTAAACCAGTCGTCTTGTCGCACGGGCCGCAGCAGAGATGTGCGAGTGAGCATTCTGAACTTATATCTTCTTAGATATTTGTTCAGAGCCCTCAAATCAAGTATTGGCCGAATTCCGTTCCCTCCCCGTTTGGGAACGAGGAAGTACTTGGAATAGAAGCCGCCCTGACTCTGCTCGGCGGGTACAATAGATATAGCCCTCTTTTCTAGGAGAGAGAGAATCTCTTTCTCCAGAATATGGGCTGACTCTCCTCGGGCCTGCGAATGCAGAATGCCCGAGAAGCGAGGGGGGGTGACAGCGAATTGGAGTCTGTAGCCCCGTGTTACTGTCTTGAAAACCCAAGCAGATGATGTGAGCATCTTCCACTGCATGCTCCTTAGAGCCAGTGGAGATGTCACATCTCTTCCCCTCTGAGTCTCTATTTGTTGTGTTATGGGGCCCTCTAGTGTCTGAACACAGTGGTGCCCCCTTTCGACAATCCCCACCGACACTGCGCATGCGCATGACGGTGGTGCCTTCACAACCCCAGCCGGCACTGCGCATGCGCGTGGCGGTGGTGCTTTTAAAACCCCAGCCGGCACTGCGCATGCGCGTGACGGTGGTGCCTTCACAGACCCGCCTGTAATCCGCCTTTTGAGAGATGCCGAAGCTGCTCTCAGAAGGGGAACAGTTGGCGGGCTGTTTATTGGTTTTATTGTTTTTCTTAGCATTTTTTTTAGCTGCGCCCTCGGCCTGAAGCCTGGATGCGTTAGCGGCAAATGTTTAATGACAGAGGAACAAACAGATTTGTGACATGTGTTTTTGCGGACTTGAGGATGGTGTTTAGGCATCTCTCGAGGCGGCGGGAACACATTTAGAGCTGGGGAACCGTGGACTTCCAGCTCTGTCACGGAGGGGAGAAGGAGGGGCTGTCACGCCGCTCGCTTCTTCGCCTGCTGGCTGAAATTCTGGGTTGGCTGCGCCTGAGCTGCAGCCGGAACCGGAGATTTTCTGGGCCAGCTCGCCCTCGTCTCCAGCCTGGGCTGGGGACTCGGGGTGGGCTGCGACCTCTGCGTTTTCGGTGTTTTAAACCGAGCAGGGTTCAAGGCAGCTTGGGCGAAGGACTGCTGCTGCGAAGGCAGCGGCTGGACCCTTCGAGGGAGGCAGAGGTGGAGTGCCGCGTCCTCCCTCTTTTTCGACTCACACCTCCTTTGCATGGAAGCAAGAGCGGAGCCGAAAATTCCCTCGGGAACGATGGGCATATCCAGCACATCCTCCTTTTCCCGGTCTGGGAGGTTGGTGAGGTTGAGCCATCTCGCTCTTTCCTGCACCACCATGATCCCCATTGCCTTACCCGTGGCCTGGACGGCGCAGCGTTGGACACGGAGACAGATGTCTGTGACCGCCGCCATCTCGTCCAGTGGCTGCACCCGGGTTACCCGACAGGTCCTCGCAGAGCTCCGCTTGGTAAGCGGTTAGCAGCGAGGCCACATTCAGGGCCCTGGCGGACAACGCTGCGGCTTTGTAGGACCGTTCAGTCATTGTCGACTGAAATCGGTCCGACTTTGCCGGCAGCGTGGGGTTCCTGCTTGGTGACGGGCCCATCCTCGGTAGGAGGTGGGCTGCTACCAGCGGTTCCATGGGCGGTATGCGGAGCAGGCCGAGCTTCTCCATTCCGTCACAGTCTAGGGAGGAGGCACCCTGGATTGGGACCTTGTTGCTGAAGGGCCGGTCTCTCCACGAGACCGACACCTCATCCAACATCTCCGGGAAGACCGGAAGGAGTTGTCTCTTTGTCCGCGCTGCTTGGGGGAAATGTTTCCCTTCGTAGCGGGACCTGGAGGTCTCCTTGGCCATTTCAGGCCACGGGATGTCGAGTCTGGCCGCAGCGCGTTTGCACACGGCCTGCAGGTCCATACTCAGACAGGGCGAAGCTGGTATGCTATCGTCTGGGAGAGCAGCCCTCGCTCCAGGCTTTGCAGCCTGAGCCGATGACATGAAGATGTCCTCTTCATGTTCATCCGACTCGGACAGGAGGAACACCGAGGCGTCCTCTTCGTCCTCGTCGTAATTCAGCTCGAGGACATCCTCCGCGGGTGAGACCATGGTGAGGTCTAACTGGGAGCCCCAGCTCGGTAAAGCGTGGGGTCCCGTTCCCGCGTGTCTTGCCGCCACCGGGTCCCGGCCTGCCAGGGCGCGGGAATCCGGTTCTGCGGCCATCGCAGATACTGAGCCCCAGACCGACATGGAGAGGGGTTCACTCTCTGTGGCAGATGCCCCCGCGTCTTGACTGCCGGCCGGCAGGTCAGAGGACATGGGGGGTTCCTGCTCCGACAGGCTAGCTTGGCGTGCTAGCCGTCGGCGGAGGCTCTTTACGGTGAAGCGGACAGAATGTCCGCACGAGCCGGGGTTGTCGATAGCGCCTCGGGCGTGTTCCAGCCCGAGGCAGGACGAGCAGACCTGGTGTGTGTCTGTGCCCGAGATCTTCAACCCGCAGCCGCAGAGTCGAGCCACCGAGTCCCTGACTCCTCTGGTGTGAGGGAGAGGGGCGTCCATCTTGTTCGCCTCGTGGCGTGGAGAGGACCCGCTCTCAACAGGTAGGTTGGGAGAAAAAGAGGTAACCACCCTGTCCTTAATCCGGAGAAAAGGACGGTGTGGGTCTTTTATTCCCAGAGAATACTGACTGGTGTGGCAGTATGCTCCTTTTAATCCTTTCCTCCTCCGTGGGGAAGAGAAAAGAAAATACTTCCTCGCTACCGTGGTGTCGGTAGTGAGGGAGCAAGCTAACGCTAGCTTGAAATAGTCAGACCTAGCTTACTTTCCGGGGAAAGAGAGCGGCGAGGTCGATTTCAACAATATCTAGCGTTAGTAATTACCGTCTTCCTGCGAAGCAGAAGGAGTAGCCGGCAAGCGCCCGTCGACCGAAATGGATATTTGGGTTCAGTCTGTGGACCGTGAAGCTTGTCCGGCTACCATAGAGATGTGCTCTGAAGCGAGAAGAGGTGTTTGAATGGCGCATGCGTTGTGGCGCAAGCTACTTATAGGGGGTGATTTCCCTGACGCTGACGTCAAGATCTCCAGCCAATCAGGATTGGCGTAATGAGATTGATGCTTCTGTTTGCTCCGCGATGAGGCGCATCCCATAGTGAGACATCGAACGGAGTGTTATGAATGAGAACTTGATTGCAGAAGACAGTAGGCACACACTTTAATTGTGTCAAAACGTTGACCCGCGTTTACAGTACCTACTATTCCTGTTAATTCATTTATTTAAATTGTATTTTTCTTACTTTACGTGATTTAATTTACTTATTATTTACTTATTTAATTTACTTCATTTATTTATTTACCTTGTTATGTTTGTGTCTGTATATAGTTTCTGCTGGGCAGAGAAATGTTTTATCTCTATATTTAAACATGTTCATGTTATTTAAACCTGAAAGAGAAGTTGGTCCAGATAACAGCACTTTGTAATATATCATTTGTTTTAAGGCTCTTTGTTTTTTTTGGGGGGGGGGGGGTTGAATTTGTATTGTTTGCATTGTTCTTTTATAGTGGCCTGAATGTTGACGATTTGCCAAAGATGTTCAAATTATGAATAAATGCATTTTTATATATATATATACGGTGTGTTTGGAGATTATTCATTACACTATTATACATTATTATTATATTATATTTAGCCCAACAATATAGTTAATTTCAATCACTAGCTTGGGTCAAATAAACAACCCAATGTATGGGTTAAAATGATCCAGCCCAGCATATGGGTTAAGACAACCCAGCGCGTGTTCTGTCCTATCAGCAGCTCAGCAGCTGGGTTATGATTGGGTTATTTTTTAACCGAGTAGTTTTAAGAGTGTTCAGTAGAGACGTCCCATAGAACATTTTGCGAAACACAATAGCCAGCATGTGTAGTTCTGGGGGGGTGTTCGATTCCAGTTTTGGATAGTCTGGCGTGGTTTCGTTCCATTTCAAACAGCTGTTTGACGCTCGGCGTAACCTTGACGCACTGCCACTCCAACATCCAATCCCAGAGTTTGAAGATTAATCACGGGGACTGTAGTCCTAAACGATAGCTGGGGATTATGGGTAGTGTAGTGTCTTCGGCCATCCTAAACTCAGAAATGTTGACAATCGCAATGATGCTCGAAATGTCCCTTTATAGGCCTACGTCTGTTTCCGGTTATTTTTATAAATTCAGTTCCTGACGGACGCCAAAAAAGCCAGAGATTATGGAATTAAACCAATAATAAAAGCAACGATAATTGTGTGTTATTGGTGAGTAAATAACAGTGTGTTATTTTGAAAAGAATAACAAAATTAGAAGGAAAAAAAGATTTAAAAATACAGATTTCAGTATTCTGAGGCTCTGAGCCCCATTTATTTTCCTCACAGACGGCAACAAAAGTCCGAAATTATACGATTTAAAATAAAAGCAATAATTGTGGCTTGATATTGAGTAAGAACATGTTTTTATTAACCACACAGCTTCCGGTCTTCCACGACCCGACCGGAGAAAAAGACGTGCTGCAGGCACGAAACACATTACCAGTAGAAATACATTGCTTTTAAAATCGTGCTGTGCAACACGAAAAAAAGGGGAAATCGTGTTGGTGAACACGAATCAATAGATTAAAAATCGTGTTGGTGAACACGAAATGCCATGAGACTGGGTTGTGATAGCTGTGTGGAGGCAATCCCTCTGCCCTCATCTCTCATCATCATAGATACACTCTGAATATCCTATAAAAAACATTTTAAAGATTAAATTATCTTTCAGTTTGATCCATAATTACATTTGTCACAACCTTGACCGACAGAAAAAGGTAAGATTAGCATGCTAATTGTAATTTGACCAATATTAAATAGATTGAACCTCTCAATCAGATAAACTACATTTTGGAAAAGGCTAATAGAGGCCAAGCTCACATCACTGATGACTACATTGACAAGAAGACCGCCTCAGATATCACAATTCAGTTCCCACTCTCTGTATTAAACATGCAGCGGTAATTATTGCTTTGTAGAATGACTGAATTAAATTACAATAATTCCTCTGTTTCTCTGTGCTAATTAATGGGTCATCTTATTCAGTCCCCAGTCTTTTACTTAGACTCATCGTTTGCCCCTTTTATTCTCCTCTAAGCATAAACATGATCAAAGCCTTCCTCTCATAATTAATTACAGTCTCTAAGCTAGACCCTGATAGCGTGTAGTTTTATGTTTAATTTAGGGTCACTACTATATGGATCCTTCCAGCCTTATAATAATAGTTGTCCAACACAAAGTCCTGATTTAAATGTTCAGTTTTCTTTTCGAATGAATGACTGTTTATTTTTAAAGATGAGCATTCTCGTATAAATGAATGAATTATAGTATTGATTTAGTTTCATGCACTCATCCATGGTCATATGTATCATACAACCCAATATATGGCAACAGCAGATGTGCCTCGACTTCTTGGCTCAGTTTAATTGTATCGTCCATTAGGCTTTGAGCGATGCTCAGCTTATTAGCAGTCGGGAAGTACAGAGATATGATTTAATGCAGTTTCTTGCAGGGAACACAATAAGACAACATTTAATGCTTTCCTTATTCATTTTCATGGACTTTAATGCGCCCTTAAAACTCTATAATTGGGACTGTAACTGGTTGTATTTTATCTTCCCTGACAGTGGCTAATTATCTCAGTTAGCTGCATTATTGCTGTTATGGGAAGTAAATAAAAAGTAGTCAGCAGTTGGGAACAGGATTCTCAAAGCTCGCTCACTACTGCATTCTTCTGACGTCCAGATAAGAATAACAATGAGAGGATTATCTTTCCATCACACAGAAGTGCAATCAAATGTATCAGATGCTGAGTAGATTACATTTGGAAGACAGGATCACATTTTTGTATGTGGATGTTTTTTTCTTTCTTTTCAATACTTCTTTTAGATGCCTAATCTCCAGGAATACCCAATGACAGTCTGCTCTTAAAGGAATGGTTGTTCATTTTTGCAAATATTCTTATTTGGTTTCTTTCCAAGAGTTAAAAGAAAAGATCAATACCACTTTTGAGTTTGGTATCAATCTTCTCCCCGAACAATCTAATTCATTCTGGGACTTTTTTTTACTGTAATGCAAACCATTGCAACCAAAATAACCAGTCATTTATTTAAAGAACAGTAGCTGGTAATGCGTCTCTTTCAGCTGTACTAATCAAAACAAAACATGTTGCTCATTTGTATATTATCCATCTGTTCATCAAGAAAATGAACAATAGTGTTGTCCTGTCTGGCTAAACATATCGCAGATGGCCTCTGGTTCAGTCCCTCTAGTTTAAGCTTTGAGTTTAAAGTCAGACAGAAAGCGCACCTCTGTTAAGATCAATGTGAGCATGTTTAAATGTTCCTTTTGTGCATTCTGTCACTTTCTGTGAACAACTTATATTTCACTATTGTAAGGGAAACTTCTGCAGCAATGGAGAGTTAGGACTCAGAGAGACACGGGGAGAGTTGGAGCTTTGATGTCAAACACTGATATTTATTACAAGTATACGGCCGTAGAAATTCAGATCACAAGTCACAGAGCAGCCAGAGGTTGGGTTAGGGTTAGGGTTAACCCTAACTATCATTCATTATAGTCCATGATTTAGTCTTTAAGATATGACTGAGCAATTTACATAACTGGCATACTGTACAATTAAATATAACGTATTTCTTGTCACTTTTTAAAAGTGCGTGAGCAAAGTAAAATAGCAATCCAATATCTCTTATGCACTCAAATAATTAGAGCTACACTTTCAGCGCTACTCTGGAAATTCTTTACCAATTTCTTGATCCTCAGGTTGGATTTGTTTGTCCTGCAGGTTGTTTTGCAGATCTGATATTTTAGACATACTCTCTAATCTCATAATGTCTGATGAGCCCAATCCTAAACATGGTGTTATTAAGTACATCTATACATGAAGAGCTCATCTAAGGTATTTGTATCTCATAAGATGTACTTTTTTTTTTACTGCAGAGCAGCAAAGCAGGAAAGCATCAAGAGGAAACTCTGCCTTCAATATGGAGGTATAATGGCACTCTGCCTGAAACCATTGATTTGATGTGGGCCTGAGGGGGTGGGGGCTATGCTTTGGGACTGAGATCACAGGGGGCTGCGTCTCCGTCTGTCTTTCTGTAGAGAGCTGATGCTAGGAATCGGTTTTACTGCTCTGATCTCTCATTACAGCCATCCTACATAGATATAGTTGAAGGGGCTTCAACAGTGATATGGCCCTGAAACTCTGCCACCACATGATGAATGCAGAAAATCACAATTAAAAACTGTTAATTAAAAACTAATGTCAAAGACTTTGAAATCCAAACTATGTTTCCATAGCTACCAACTCCTGCGTCTGCCACAGGTGAAACAGGTATTTTCTTTCCCCTGTGACTGGCCATCCATCATGGCCAGTGCTTAGAAAGAAAGGTATTTTTACTCTGTTCGATGAAGTTGAACTAGCACTTAGAGCTTAGGCAAGAGAGTTCTACTTTCTTAACCCCCAATGCTCCACCACTTTACAAAAAGTACAAATAAGTAATTCATGCCACCACAACAGAAACAAACTATACACACAAACACATAGACAATGCAGAAGTGCCCATAACCTTTCCTATTAATTTGAATGGTGTAATGCAGTAGTGTGGCACATTTGAATTCTAATACACAAGCCACCCTGAAATAAGGGCGCCATTTAGTAGAAGTCCCAAAATGAAAATGTCAACCTTAGTGAAAGTATGTATTATTATCAAAATGTATTATTCATCGTAAAATTACACAGAAAAATGGCCACTGTTAGTTGTATGCTACATAACTACACTGATTCATTAATGTATAAGTAATATTGTACTGTTTTTGTTATGCGAAATGAAGCTAGTTCTTCAAGCATTTTACATACCGTTGGTTGGTGTAATCTATAATACATTGTGTCTTGAAAACTATGCTCATTATAAGTTTTGTATATACAATCTTTGTAGAGTTTGTAACTATGGGAACTATAGTTGTTATAAAATAAGTTTTAAAAGGTTTTGGTTAAGTCCTCTTGAAATGTAATAGAGTAGAAACATAAAGTGGCACAAGAGCAAAGAACCTTTCCTTTGCTTCCTTCATTACTGTGCTAAAAGAAAATCACATTATTCTATCTCTATCCTTGCTTGCACTTAAAAAAATGTAAGCACATGAGCTGAGAAAGATAGCGTGATTTTTAAATAGATCTGAATTGGCTTTTCTGACCAAGTGTAGACAGTATGACAATGTTGGGAAATAAGAACTGCTCCAAACCAGATCAGTGAGGGATAATCTTAATACCACTAACAGAAAAGAAGAAAAACGCAAAGCAAAGGAAATACGTTTCTGGGACATGCCACAGTTCATCTGAGGTCTTAGGGGAAGAAGGGTAGCGAGTCTATTTAAAAAAAAATTATGTTGACAGAATAATGATTACACAACTTCAGACTCAGCCTCGGTAATGGAA